TTTTTTAAGACAAAGAAAGAAAGGGAAAGAGGGTCCTAGGTTTAATCATAATATGGATCACATCAATGCAATACCCGATAATCACTCCTCAAGAGAGGGGCTACACGTGGTATTAGCGCACCGGTCATCATATCCATATCTACCCTTTCCCACCCCGTTTAAGGTACTAAAGCGCAAATTGGTCTCGTTCGCTATTGCATGCTATTACCCGTCCCATTCCTATCAGTCCCGGAGGTACTTAGGACTACTATTCCTAAAGGGAAGGGGTATTAGGCTGATTGGTTTCAAAGGACAAAAATCTAAGGCGACGTACAAAAACACATACTGCATGTTGGGGAAGAATATAAACAGATAAAGGCTCAAATACACCTCTTTGAACAAAAGCACATAACTAGCATGACTTACACATACTTTTAGGGTCTAATTGAAATACTAAATACGAGGGGAGTTTGATTCAGAGCCAGATTCATCAGATACCTCAGATAAGAAGCCCAAATCAGGCCTGCCTGCTGGTTGGAGCAGTTACTAATTAACAGAGGCGAATTCAGTTTTATTGTTATTACTCTATGGCTTGCCTAAGTGTTTAGACGAAGTCCTATAGGCAAGATATCTACTTAATTCATAATGCGGCGAAACAGTAAAAAACGAATTGTTTGAGATCTTGTAGGCATGCTTGTTAAACCTTATTAAGTAAGGGAATTAGATTGTTTAAAACCGATTCAGAATAGACTGATTTTAAAACAGACCAATTTCAGATTCTGCAGGTGATGGTATCTACTATTGCTGATTTAAACCCTATGAACATGATATCTAACATTGACTGTGAATAAAATGAATCAAATTTATTTAAGAAGCCCTATAGGCATGATTTCTATATGTTACTGATCTCAGCATTACGAACATGACACTTATTTTTAGCCGTTTAGAACCTAAAACATGATATCTAAGTGTCATGCAGAATTTAAATATGTCCTATAGGCAGGTTATCTAGGTGTGACATTGCCCATAAAGAAATTGAGATATATCCTATAGTCATGGTGTCTAAGATGCAGTGTTGAACGCAAAGAATTTAAAACAGTCCTACAGGCATGCTTTCTACCCTTGAGCATACATGATCACCCAACCCTTTTTACTAGCCAACCCCAAATGTTTATTACAACTTATTACAAACTAGAAATAATGAATTACAAAAGAAAGAATGAAAGAAAAAGCTACAACCATAGGAAAGCCTGATTTGACTTCCTATCTGAGATATGCAAGGAACCGTATCATTGCCAATGCCATTGATTTCAAAACCTCCTCAGACCTGGGTGTGTTAGAGTTCCCTAAGGGCCTCAATAGGACCCCGGGCAGTGCTCACACCCAAGTTATACAAACAGAATAGAGATGAGTGCAGTGTGGAAATGCCAGCCCTCATGTATCCAAGTTCAGATGGAGCTCATGGGTCCCAAGGCAAGGCTCACATGAAGGGGGCAGAAATTAAGTCTAAGAAGAGAGTGAAAGTGCGTAAACAGAGTTTTAAGAGCTGAGGAATAAAGGAGAGGGAAAAGGGTGGTGGGAGTAAGCCATTAACATTTCAGGGAATCAATAACTTCACACAAAGGGGGGAGGGGATTGGGAATCCATTGCAAGAAGCCTATACACTTAGACATGGGTTAACTTTGGGCATGCACAGCAATAAGAAGTGCTGACATGGCTGTAAATCAACCAGAACACATAACAAATAAGGGAAATATGGAGGTTATGATCCTAGGAGGATCAAGTTTGGGTCATGCACAGCAATTCACGATGCTGTCATGCCCCAAACCAACCACAAGTATTAAACACATTGGGGTAGGGACTTAGGATTCACAGGTCATAATACATTGATCCAGAACAAGAGAAGTAAAACTACAGCATGCCAAATAGTGGTACTGGGTTAAGTACAATCAGTAGGCAGACAAGAATGCAAGAAACAGTAAATAAGCATGTTGTTGTTGGTGCAGAAAACTTAATCGGAACATACCAATAAAAAATGCAAAATGCAAAAAATAGGCAAGTTCCCCACAGCCTAGCTTTGGCTTTCAGCTGGCTAGGTAAGGCAGCAATATAGCAGCAGTAGAGAAGAGAGAGAGTTTTAGTGTAGTGTGTGTTTGAACTCAAGTGTTATGCCTTGTGTTCGTGTTTGAAAGAGAAGAAGTACAGGGTATTTATAGTTTTTGAAAACGAGTGAGAGAGAGGTAATAAGCCACAAACATGGAAACAATCATGACTCGGAATTAATTATACAAGTGATTCCCTTTAATTAAGGGAGCACTGTTTTAACGGGTATTGACAGGTTTAAAACAAGGAAAGAAATCAATTTGTCAGCAGGCTGACAGTTGCCATAAAAGCAGTAGTAAAATATTTAGCTAGCAATCGAGTCTAGGTACAGAGATACTCTAATTTTGGAAAGGATTCAGTAAGGCATAGGAAAAGAAATCAGTTAACTTTAACGGGCAAGCGAAATCAGAATTTCACAAAGGAAAAGTTTGAAATTAGTCACAAGTTTGAAAATCAGTCAAAGAAGGAGAATCAGCATATAAATAGGGTGCATAAACATTATACATGCGAGGCCAAGCCTGTTGGCAAGAGGAAATAGCGTGCAGTAGTAGCACAAAAAGAAAAATTCAGTAGATAGCAACACTCGAAGCATGATAGTCAGTTGAATCAGTAGTGAAGAAACATAGAATATCAAAAGCATGCGAAAATCTCACAGTAGCAAGTGAGGAAAACCCCCTTTGAAATTAGGGTTTCGAACATAATCGAGTTTTAGAGATGATAGAAACTCAGAATCAGAAGAATCACACGAAGGAGCAAGTGGTTTCTAAATAAAGAACTTCAAATCGAGTCATGCACTTAAACTAATAGTCTCAGACTCAAAGCCATAGGGTTTTCAGCAATAGAAGAATTTTAAAGATGGATAAACAAACAAATCGGATAAAACTCAAGCAAACAAACATTCGACTAATGAACAGTCAAAAGAAATTAGGGCTTTAACATGCAAACTCAGGCAGCAGGATAACACGAGCAAACATAGCAACATATGTCAAAATCAGAGAAAAGTTTTGAAATAACTTAACAAGAAAACCCTAATCGGAAAAGAGAAAGAGTTTTGAAAGCAGAGTTTTAAAGAGAATTTAAGAAAACGCTTAGAAGTTCAGAGCAAACATAGATCTGAAACAGATCTAAAAGAAATCGGAAGGACCTTAGAGGTTAGGGTTTCAGAAGAACTCCAAATGATGAGAAAGGCTTTGAAAACCATCGATCTAAGCATGAGAGTCAAGAGTCTGACTCGAATAGCCATGGCTGGCCGGAGAAAAGGTCAGAGACGACCGGAGAATAGCCATCGAGCAAAGACTGGACAAAACCCTTCATGATATGGTCATAGGACCACAGAATCGGACACGTAGAAGCCATGGGAGGTGGATATAGGTCTCCAACGACCATGGAAGCCATAGATTTGGCAGATATTAGGGTTGTAGTTTGATGGAGGCGGCTAGGGTTTGAGAGGATTTGAGAAAGGATTGAGAGAGAAGGGGTAATTCAGGGGCGGCGGAGTTTGGAAAATGAAAAGGGTTTGGGGGTCTTTGGGTTTAATTAGGAAATGAGGTCTGGTGGCCGTTGATCATTTTGATCAACGACCTAGATTGAACGGGTAGGTGGGGCGGTTTAGAGAATAGGGTTTGGGTCAGTTCAGATTGTAATTGGGTTGGGGTAATTGGGTTTAAATTTGAGGTCCAATTCAGGCTGTAATTGAAATGCAATTGGGGGCTAGATTTTAAATAGCCACTTTTCCCTTATTTATTTTATAAAAAATAGCAAATTAATTTCAGAAAACAAATTAAAAGCATTAAAAAGATTGATAATTTATAATTATCAATTTAAAAATACTGGGCTTAATTTTATGAATATAACCGCATTTAGATCTTAAAAGAGGCTAATATTGCAATGGTATGCAATTTAGCTTAAAAATACTAAATAAATTTGTAAAAATATGCAAAAATTATCTTAGCTATGTTTTAGCATAAATATGAGAATCCAATAAATGAATCATTAAAAAATAATAATTTTAGAAATTATTATTGGATTTTTAGGGATAAAATATGGCAATAAATTGATTTAAAAATCTTTAGAATTTAAGAAAAAATAATAAAACATCTGGACATACTTAAATATGCATGCATATGCTATTTTGAAAGTATTTTGCCTATTAAAAAATATATAGAAAAAAATTGGGTATCAACAGTTGGCACTCTATTCCATGAGAGGGTATTTAGCTTTACACACTAGTACTATCCATGTGGGATAAGGTTATCCATGTCCTCTACCCCCAGGCTAGACTCTCCTATTTTGGCACCTCCTTTACTCCCACCTTTCACCCAAATTGGGTCCCCAGGGTATCAAATTTGTTCCCTATTTTCATAGGCAGTTCTTGCGGCAGCATTGTTCCCATCCTTCCATTTTCACCCTTCCTAACTCTTTTGTCCTTTCTCCAGAGGTTGTTGCCCCTTCTTGTTGTGTTAATTTTATCCATGGCCTGATTGTCCCCTTTGTTGATACTTTCAGTTTCTTTGGTGCTAAATGTGCTTCCCCATTGGTTGTATCAGTCCCTCCTTTTGGTGTTCCTTCTGTTTCCCTGGTTTTTCCTTTTCTTCTTTTATGAATTTCCTACATCCCTTCATCTCATGCACAAAATTCTTATATTTCTCGCACAATGTGGGCTTCCATTCATAATACACTTCTTGTTTAATAATTCTCCCTCATTCATCCTCAAACATTATAGAAGTTGGATAATTTTTATGCAAGTTTACCATGACTAGAACCCTGGTAAATGCAACCATTCCTTTTGCGATGTAGCTCTATCAGTCTTCAATGGTTTTCCCACTAGTCTTGCCAATTTAGTTAGTGCAGATTGTCACCACACTTTTACCTATAGAAGTAATTATTGTTGCAAAGCTATTTTGCAAAAAACATACAAATTAGATGAGTGATTGCTTTGAATTTCATTAAAATGCAACAACCGAAGGCGAAGTATATATACAACACGAAGATGAATATCATTCTATATTTTTTACAGGATAAACTCGATGTAGCTTAATTCACTTTCTAACGATTAAAAGCAATCGATAAGACGGCAGCCAGCACAAACCAACCTAAAAAGAAATATCCCACCAATCTGGTTGGTTCCACATCCTCTGGTTCCTGCAATCGTGTTTATATATATAACAACCACAAATTAAAATGTAAGTAGAAAATATTCATTCACTATTAAGAGAAGGATGTAGTGAAGTGTGTACGTATCTACATGTACGAATTAAGAGTTGATTACAAGAACACTTGATCAGCGAAGAAGAGATCGTGTAACTAATTTAAGGTTTGAAAAATTTTGGTTTTGAGGAATGCTATGAAAGAAGTGCGAGACTTAAACCTCTCAAATATACTTCTGTAAGAATTTGAGGTGCAGTGAGAAGAAGCTTTCGGAGGAAAGTGAAATGATAAAGAATTGAAGAACTAAGTTATGAAAACTCAAGTTATTATTCGAATCAGGCCAACTTTTGCCTTAATAGAATTCACACGTGGTCACTAGTTTTCCCAAAATAAGGAGAAATCTGCTGCTTATTACTTACTCGCAGAAACATTCAACCTATACTATTGACTATTGTCATGTCGTTCACCTATATTTCTGATATCCTTTCTTTCTATTTAGAAGTTTTTTTGGCTTTGAATGGGATAAGTAGAGAATGAAACAATATTCCTACCATTCTTATGTCACAATAGTATTTTAGTAGGCCTGTTCAAATGAATGAAATACTTTTGTATTTGGAAATATACTTTCATTTTATCATTAACGAGAATATTTTTATATTCACACAAATATTATTGAATATTAAAATCATAAATTTTCAAAATTTTCATAATCACATAAATGTAATGACATGGTTAAGATCAAAAATATTAAAAGTCTTCATTTTTCCCACGCCGTGCCAAACGAAATTCATTTTAGAACAAGACAGTCTTTCATATAGGAATACATCTTTTAATTAATAAAATAAATTGTTTTTTCAAAGATGTGTATATTAGCCAATTCTTTAATTAGAGGAGTAGTGTCTTTATTACAAAATGTAAATTAATTCTGGAATTATAAAAAAGAAGGAATTAGTACCTGAGGAGGAGGAGTTCCTGTAGACATTGGAGTTTTATCAACCTCAAAAGGCCACTTGTATTTATCCGGTGCCTCACTCCTTACCAAGCTCCAATCATACAGCCTTCTCTCCTCTGGTGTTGACAAAATTGAATATGATTCCTATGCCCAAAAATAATAACAAAAATGTTTTAAGGGAAAACTTTTGTGCAGGTCATTTCTGAAACCTTTCTCGAAAGGAAATAAATTACAATAAATAAATAAATACTCCTTACGTTTCAATTTAGATGAGGTAGTTGACTCGGCACGGAATTTAAGAAAACAAAAAGACTTTTGAAACTTGTAGTTTTAAAAGCTTAAGGGGTAAAAGCTCTGTGGGGCCATGACATTTGTGTCATTTTATGATTATAAAAGCTTCTCATTAAGGATAAAATGGATCAAATGAAGAGTTTAAAATTAAATTATTTCCAACGGTATAAATGTATCATTCTTTTTTAAATGAAAGAATAAGGAAAGTGTGTCATGTAAGTAAATAAATACTTTTAGGCGCTCAAGCTTCTTGTTAAGCTCCACTTCTTCCAATCCCTCATTCATAACTTCTTCAACCTTCTTCTTGTACGCAACTGGTACCTATATTATAGGCAATATAAGTCAAATACTAAGAAAAAACATCAAAACATTGGACATTACAATTTGTTCTTTTTCTTTATGATTATTTTGTTTTCAAGGGGATTGGGTAGAAAGAGATTGTGTGGACCTCATTGTATGAACATTTTCTTGGAAGTCCAAGTCGGTCATAGTGATCTATATCTGTTATTGCTGCATTCTAAAATGAAATTTATTAGTCAAATGATACATTCATATTGAAAAAAAAAAGAGTTTGACTTCTATATACGCTCTGGAAAATTTAGACAGTGGATCATCTAAGAAATAATTACTCATAGCACCATAAAGCTTGGGATTAAATATTCTTAAAAATAGACACTGAAAGGCACTTGACATCATCTGTACACATAACTTAAATCAACAACGACCCGGTAAAATTCTACTAGTGGGTCTGGGAAGGGTAGTGTGTACGCAGACCTTTACCCTACCCCGAGGGATAGAAAGACTGTTTCTGAAAGACCCTCGGCTCAGGAAGACGAAAAGAGACAATATCAGTACCACAAACAGACACCATATAAATAATAACAGCATCACAAAGATAAAAAAATATATGAAACATAAAAGCGATAGCCAGTAACAAGACCCGGCACTATGAAAACGAAAGAGTAGTGAGACACAAGTTAACCCAAAAAAAAGTCACTTAAAGTAAGGGAATCACAACGACAATATTTAAAGAAAGGGGAAAAAATAGTTAGAACAGTAGTAAAACGAGCACCTATGCCAAGAAGAGCTTTTTCAACATTAAGAGCTGAGATTATAGAAGGTGGTCCAGGTGGAAGTTCAACTGATGAGATTTCATTAGTTGTTGCTGTAGCGGTTTCAGTGGATACATCGCTGCGGTCGGAGTTTTGAACGATAAGCAAATTTCTAATCCGTTTGGTGGAATTACCAAAATAAGGAATAGAGATAATTACTGGTATATTGTTACTAGAATGATTTGTAATTGTTGGAGATGATAGGAAATTTTTGCTGGAAATGTAGGGAGTTGCTCCTGTGGCAGCCATATCTTCTTGTTACTCTGTTGTCCATGTTTCTACTTCCTTCTTGACATTCTGTTATCAATTCAGATAAAGGATTGGTAATTCAGCGCCAGTCATTTTCTTGTCGTGATATGGTATATTACGGATAAATGTTGACTACTAGAGATAACGCTGTAGTATACTGGTGATAATTCCTGCCTGTTATGCTGGTAGGGGTGGGCATTCGGGCAATTTGTATTGGATATGAAAATTTCGGTTTGGATTTTCGGTTTTCAGATTGAAGAAATGACAATCTAAATAAATTCGGATCGGATTTTTTAAGTTTGGATTCAAATAAATCGGTTTGGATATTTTGGATTTTCGATTTGAGCTTATAAGTTGAGATCTTTCTTCTTTCTACGATAATGAACATCCAAATGAAGTATTCATGTTAAATTTCCTAGAAAGTTCTTTATTTTCACAGCAATTATCCAAATAAAGTATTCAACTAATAAAATCATCATCAAAGAAATACAACAGACACTATAAGTCCGATAAGAAGTAGCAATGGTAAAATCATGTTCAAATAGAAAGTATTTTGATAGTGACTTAGTAATTAGTATTGAATATATGAGATTATGTCTGACGGTTAGGATATTGGACTTGTTACTATTGGCATATGAATGGACTAAATATAACATATAAATATTTCAGATTTTCGGATATCCAAAAATGTGAAGTACCAAACCCAATATCCAATCCGAAATCTAAAATTTTAAAAGTTAAATTTGAAATCCAATTCATAATCCAAAAATCCAAACCAGAAATTTAAACAAATTTAAATTTTGGTTTGGATTTCCGTATTTGCCCAAACTATGCTCACCACTGTGTTATGTCGAGGAAGAGGCAAATCCGAAAATAAAGAAGATAAAGAACACCAAATTTTAACGTGAAAAACCCTTTAAATCGAAGGTAAAAACCACGGGAAACAAAGATCCAAAAAGATCAACTATAATAATAAGAGGGCTACAAAAGTTCTCCAAATTGGCTACACAACAAGTGCCAAACACGGAGCAAAAATAGCAACAACTAATCAATTGAAGAAAGGGGAGAATCCACAAAAATGAAGCTGCTGTTTGAGGCTCGAAATCAGATGCTACGGGCCTCCAAATCCGATCTCCACCGTCTAAGACCAAGATGTCACGAACACTCAGTCAAAATTTCGGCCCGATCCAACGGTTAACGAATTGTAAAATGTGATTTGAAGTTGGCTGGTCGGAATAAAAATCTGCAGCAAAACAAATACTTTTCTTCTTTCTTCTCTCTTGATGAAAGCTCTCTCAAAAACCACTCTTATGTGCTCAATTCTTTCAAAGACTTGTATCAATGAGCATGGAATGATTCTCCAAGGTTGTCCTATTTATAGATCATGAGTGGTGCTTTCTTTTAAAGCCAAAACCAACTCTAAATAGGAATAAACACCGAATCCAATTCCGAATAGGAATGGAGACCAAAAAGATAATAGGATTAGGCCATTGTGCCTTTGGCTGGACAACATGGGCATGTGCCCAACAAACTCCCCCTCCAGCCAAGGGGCCAAATGTGTCTTCAAGTAGAGGAACTATTGACAGGCTTCATGCCTGCCAATTTTCTGCAAAACGCATGCTTATCTGCAAGCTTAACTACGAAGTCCTCAGGCTGCTCCATATAAATCTTCTTATTTAAATCACCATGAAGAAAAGCAGTCTTGACATCCATCTGCTCAACCTCTAAATCCAGACTTACGCCTAAGCATATAACCACGCGAATAGAAGACATCTTTACAACTGGGGAGAAAATTTCATCAAAGTCAACTCCCTTCTTCTGGCCAAAACCTTTAACAACTAACCTCGCCTTGTATCTAGGCGCAGAGGTATGGTTATCTTGCTTTATTCTGAATATCCATTTATTAGATAAAGCTCTCTTACCTTTCGGCAATTTCACTAACTCATATGTGCCATTCTCATGGAGTGACTTCATCTCATCTTCCATGGCTTCAATCCACTGATCTTTGTGAGTATCTTGCATAGCTTCATCATAATTTTCAGGTTCTCCCATATTAGTCAAAAGTACATACTCATCAGGAGGATAGACATGGATTTTTGCTTCTCCCTTGTAGATCTTCTACGAGAGGTTCAAGATCATTCAAAGTAGTTACCTGAGCAGGAATTGGTTGCTGATCAACCACAACTTCATCAACCGAAGCATCCATAACATCTACACCATGATGATCATTTTGATCTTGGTCACTATCTCCAACATTGTCTTGGGTTCCTTCATGTGCAATAGGTTCCTTAGCAATTGAAACTGGATCAATATCAACTAAGCTCTCATTACTCTAAGAATCTATCTTCTCAGCTTTGTCAATATCTTCAATAGTCTGATCTTCAAAGAATATTGCATCACGACTTCTTATAAGTTTATTGTCAACTAGATCATAAAAACGATACCCAAACTCATCTTGACCATAACCGATAAAGATACAATGCTTAGTTTTGACGTCCAACATTCTTGACGATATAAACTCATCAAGATATGAATACCGCCAAAGTGGGGGGGTCCTCTCAAGGGGGGAGGTGCGCTTGGCAACATTCTTGACGATATTGACGATGTCAGCAAGAACATCGATCTTGATGCTCCCGGCACCGTCAAGGCAGCGGAGAGGTTCCAACGGCAGGTGATAGCTGTTTTACGTATATTTATTTAGTCTCAAGCATTATTCTTCGTTTTTCTAACTCTTCTGCTTTGCCGTAGTGTAAGGAGATGTATGACCATGCCCTCTCCAGGCTCCAAGAGGAGCTTTCATGCCGTGAAAAGGAGCTCAAGAGGCTTACCTCGGGACTGCTATAGTCAGAGGCTTACTCCGCCCGAAAGGAGAAGGAGTCAAGCGAGCTTCGGGCTGCTTTGGAAGGAGTGCTCCAAGAAAAAGCTGATCTTGCTGAGCAGGTATTTTGTCATGCGTAAATCCACCCTTCGTTCCCATAATTTGATACTGACCGGCTTACCTTTCCCTTCACAGATCGGGCAAAAGAATGTGGAGATCCTCGGGCTGAGGGAGTAAAACGATGTAGCGACCTCGGAATTGGCATCAACCCATGGTCTTCTCCAAAATGCTCAAAAGGAGATTGTTGCGCTGATTGTAGCCAAGTCCGAGATCGAAGGGAAAGTTGCTACTTATCTGAAGGACGCAGCCACTGCGAATCAAATAGCCCGTAATATATCAATAAAGGCCGAGTTAAAACTGTTTCGGGCTGTCGCTCATGCTAGTGCGAAGGCGAATAGGGAAGCCTTAGAGGGGGTCAGAGCCAAAGGTGTCGATCTTTCAGCTGAGATTAAGGAGGCCCGATAGTTGGAGAGAAAATCGGCGCTCTTAGTCGCTTTAGATGAGGATCCTGGAGATGGTTCAGAGGATAGTGGCAATGAAGAGTAGGCCTTGTCTCGCTTTTGCTTTTCCTTTTTTTTTTTTTTTGCATGCACTCCCGGGGAAACAAGTTTTGTAAAGACGCCCCTTGTAAATATATTTTTTGGAAATGCAAGAGAGTATTTCTGCTCCAAGTCTTTCCATTCTTTATATTTTGTCGTTCTTGCGGAGTTAGTCTTCGAATTTTAACATTAACTCTTTTGGAGCCCATACTTGGAGCAATCGGGGCTCCCAAAATCGGGTCCTATCTTGAAATTAGGTCGATAGCTCCTCTGGGGCAGATGCTTGTGATAGCAAGAAACCCTCGAGGTCTCAATACCTCTCGAATTTCGCGGGATGGAAGCATCCGTGCGATCTGATAAAGGGACCCCGGGGTGGCCCTGCCAGTATATTTCCCAAGAAAAAAGTGACGTTAACATGGCCAGAATTAATTGGCCCTCTGGGTAGGCGAGCAGTCGCTGCTTTGCCCCTATATATTTATTCGCTTGTTTCTCAAGTGGAGATTCTGCTACTTTGAGTAACTATTTCTTCCATAGAACTTGGTTCTTTGTGCTAGTTCTCCCGTCATTTCAACTCAAAATCTTTGCCCAAATCTATACCCTCCTTTTCCTATTTTATCGTAGCCATGACTGCTATGTCGACATCTTCCCATCAAGGAGAGGGGAGTTCTACCTCTGTTCCGCGTCCGGTCGGTGGTACACCGCCGGTGCCCGGTCAGCGGGCCTCGATGTGCTTTGCGGGCCTCGATGTGCTTTGTCTCAAGGAGAGACTTTACGTTAGAGAGTTTCTGCCCTTTCCTGAGAAATGGAATTTCACACGTAAGTGGCATACCTGTATTTTTATCACTTTGTCTGTAGTGGAGGCGGGCTCCATAACGACATTTTTCTGTCTCATTCTTTGTAGCGACTCCTTGGTTGCCGAACGAGGTCCCTGATTTGGCCGAATGGTCCTGTAAGCTGGCATCTTGTTCGACCTATGATAAGCGCAGGTGGCGAGACCTGTCCAAGGGGAGATGGGAGGCAAAGCATCACGGTAGGCGCTCGGTGGCTTATTTCCCCAGAATGGTACTTTTCTTTTCAGTGCACTAACTTAGCCGTCACAGGTGTTGGAGATTTTTCCAAGATGAGGCCCCCTGGGGAGGAGGAGAGACTGCTGACCTTGGGATCGAGGGTTGATAATAAACGAAAAGAGTCTCCGGGGTGCGAGGAGGCTCGCAGCGGGACAAGTCCTTCTCAGAGGTTCAAAAGAGGTGAGTCGGTTGATCTTCCGGCTTCGGAGGCCCCTGTTTTTAAAATAACACTTCTTGCCCCCGTCGAGGGTACTTCGAGGGGTGAGGGTCATACAACACCTTCCTCATGTACTACCGAAGGTACTTCGGGGAACGCTAGGCCTTCGGACGTCAGCTCGGCCTTTGATGAGGCTCGGCGGCTAGGCTCCATGGTAAGCTGTGGTAGCCAGTACGGGCTTATCTCGGTTTCGCACCCTCCCTTTCTTATTGAGTTTTCTTTTGCAGGCCCTTCACAAGCTTAAGTCCGAGCTGCTTCGCTATGAGGCCAGGCTGCGGAAAGCTTTGGATAGGGAGAAATCCCTTAGGCTCCTCTGTACGAGAAAGCAAGGTGAGCTGGTATA